ATGATTTAATCACTGCTACCAGGTAAAATAATCCTAAAGTGAGGACTTGGTTTTAACATTCCTGTTTTCATTTTACTTCTACAAGATCTACACAGTGTTATTGGGCGAGTGAGGGGGGACACGACCCACACACCTTGGAAAACAACTTCATGTCAGAGTAGAGACTGGGGAAGCCCCCCACCTCCCCAACTTTCCAAGCAAATTGTGCACCTACATTTATTAGTAGATTCATGGAGGAACTGATTTCTAGCCTTTTTTAAATTACAAATATATTTCCTTTTCAACATTCTGGGGTTTGAGCCTATTAAAACTATATAACTGGGCATTCAACTTTACGTGTTTTACAGCCATGTGGAATCGAAATGGCTGTTAGCAGTGATATGAGACATTCATCACAACACTGAACTGCCTCACAGATTCAAAAAGGTGTTGCCTTTTATCAACAAAAAAAAAGGAAGGATGAAAAAGGGACATCCCTTTGGGAGCAACCCCTCCATTTTACGTCCTTGTCCTCTATATCTCATGCTGAAGCTACAAGCTGCCTAAAGACAACCTAAAGCTGACCAACTCATTTTTTGAAGCTGCACCAAAACAGTTTATTTTGCATAATTAGAATGCTTCATACAAACCGTGTTGCAAAACACATCAGTCATATACAGTTGCAGAATTAACAGACAAAGAGAGAAAGTATGAGCAAGGGGCAGGTAAGAAAAGTAGCCTTTCATCTATCTGAAACTCGGACTGAGACAAAACAAAGCTGCCTCTGATGGCAGGAACTGTCATCACACCAAAGGTAGTAAAGTTGCACATAGGGAAACAGAAAAGGACACTGAAGTGGAAATGGGAATTAAAAGGGAAGGTTTCTGAGAAAAGCTAGTGAAAGACTACAGAATATTTTGGTTTAAAAAAAAAAAAAAAAGAGGGAAAACCAATTTAAATCTAGGTTCTGACATGCTTGATGTGATCATACTTCTTTGTATATAAAAAGTAGACTGAGGCACTATGCAAATGATGAAGTCTGGAGAGGTGATAATTACAACAGCCAAGGGAAATAAAATAAAGGCATGCATTATAACAACAGAGGCGGTGGAACACAGGTATCAGGTATACATCAGGATGTAATATGTAGATAAAGGAAAGCCCAGAGTCAAAGATATGACTAGGAGAAGGCAACTGAAAGCAAACAGTTTTGAAGAAAGGAAAAGATGGTGCTTGTGGGAGATCCTCTTGCCAAAATTAAAAAGGCAAGTCTGTTGAAGATATGACTGGGTAAGTGGCAAGCATTAATGATGTGACCATTTAAACAAAGGTGAAAGAATGAAGGGGCAAAAGACAGTAAAGAGCAGAGCAGCACACAGGATTATATGGGAGTGTATAGAGGGCGAATCACTGCCAAACATGGAGAGAACACACAATTACTAGTTCACTGATTATGCTGCCCAGGGGTCAAGAGTTGAAAAGAGAGCCTGTGGGCTGGAGTCCTATCATCTGGCCCGTGGTGCTGTCTCTGAGTCTCACACTGGCCCTGCATGCTACAAAATAGCACACAAAGCCAGTTTGGTCCTGCATGTTGGATCCTGGTCCAGTCCAGATTAGCCCACAGACCAGCCCTGTGTGCCAGATTCATCACGTAGGGCCAGTCTAGGGCCAGCATACAGAATGCAAACAGCACACTCGGTTTATCTGGGGTGCATGCTGTCTCCAGCATCAAGGGTTGGTCTATGGGCCTGATCAGGCCCACAGATTGGCCCTGCACTATTCATCCAGTTTGTGAGACTGGCCAAGTTTGATACCCTTATTTTATGTTATGTCAGTTTACCAATTTCACGAGCTCCAATAAGCTGCAGACACTATTTAAACTAATTCTTTCTTTGAACATTCCTTGGTATTACCTTTGGGTTCAGTCCTCTGGTCGCCCAGGTCCTTCTTTGCTGTTTTTGTTTTGAGTAGCTGTTTGTCCCAGGCAGCTAAAGCTTGTTTCTCTATCCGGCGTATCTCTACTTCCTCTGCATCTAGACGGCGCTTCCACTCCAGTAATTCTTCAGCATGCTGTCGCCGTTGCATCAGCTTCTGTTCTCGCTTAGTCAAGAACCTAATAAATATACAAGGCAATGAAAAAAAATTCAACATATCCAAAAACCCAATCGTGAGGTGCTTTGTCATTATGATGTACAAATATGCACAACCAAAAGGTAATCAGCTAGGACAGTATCAATGCTATGTAAGACTCCCTATATTTCTAATATAAAACTAGGAAAAAACCCTAAATAAAATGGAAGCTAGTACTTTCTTGATAATATTCTATAATACTTATGATTACTCATTGACAACCTACAAAGAATAGCACAGAAAAATGTTGAAGTACTGTCAATTGTAACAAATATTAGCATCTTCTATTTCACATCTTTAAACATTTCTGTAAAAGTAAGTGGGCAAGTCTTTCAAGCAAAAGTATGTTATCATATTGATAATACATGGAGAGGCCCACCTCTGATTTTTAATGCTGTTTCCTCCAAAGAGGTTTTAAATTTAACTTTTCACAAAGTCCACTGAATCAGAGTCATAATACAATTCTGCTCGAAGTTAAATGAGGGGCCCAATCTATTAAAGAGTGTGATAAATAAGTGAGAACAATCAGGACTCATGGTAGAGGGTGAGTAAACTAGAAGAAGCTTATAATATCCAAGTTTTGAGAAGGTTCAATAATAACTGATGGTTAGGAGGAGTAATCTAGCAATAACCAATTTGAAATAATGTTTGTACCAGTCCCCATCTTGACAGCAAAAAGTGCCTTTGGCATTAAGTTGGAACCCTCAAGAAAGTAGCGATCACTGTGAAAGCAAGCATTCCTATTACACAATACCAACATTTTCCTTACTAGCCTCAATGTCAAAGAACTACAGAGTTTTTTCAAACTATATGAACAATCATAAGGAAAGTGAATATGGTTCCATATTGGCAATCCACTTGAACAGCAGCTAAAGGTAAGTGACTTCATTTGAGCACTGCCTGCTCAGATCCCTTCCCTTGACAGACTGTGTAACATTATACTTCTCAAAAAAGAGTATGATCAGGTGAATAAAGGGTGTGTGACTGCCCTCTCCACCCCAACTAGTTAGATTATTTGGCTGTTAATTTAAGACTATAAAGCTTAACAAAAGTAAGAATCAAACTGCAGGTAGCATCCTCATTTTTTCTGGTGACAACTTTTCCAAGCACACTGTAAAACTGAAATGCTGGAAAGCACCCAGAATGCATCTGACATAAGTAGTCATAGGATTTGTATACACATTCTGGTCCCTGTCCTTAGACAAACTGAGCATAGCATACCCCAGGTTTATTTTCAAATACCACAACACATCTTGGAGATGGAATTTTAGTACTCTAAATAGTAAGTAAGGACCTGCTTAATATTCACGTTGTACAAACACAGGCTTCCTCTAATAATGTGAGGCTTATAGAAAAGCTTGCATCAATTAATTTATTTTCTAAAATGAAGTTTTGGATAGATAAACAAAAAAAATTGTGGAACAAATCATATTGTCAGATAGCAAGATCTGAATTTCACTTTTTGCACTGCAAGTCTGGTCACTAATGCTGGATCCAGACATGCAGGCATGTGTGGTTTGTGGTCATTCAAACCTCCCTGCAATGCCACAAACAGCTCAAATTGCACAGGAATAAGTGCATGATGTTGCTAATTTACAACGCCAAGGCAAAATTTGCTACTGGGATTTCCCATTAGCAAAAATAATCCTGGAAAAAAGCAGCGCAACCAAAGCCAAAGTGGCAAGTGCTGGGACAAATGCAGAGATGGAGGAGCAGGCTGCCCAGGGCCTGCTCCCCCACCAGAAACAGGCAAGTCGCTAAACATGTGAACCATGGAGATTAGGGTCTCATGGCACTGAATGAAAATTTTCTCTGATTAAGAGGCTATTACTGTTACAAAGGAAATGAATATGTGAATAGCCCAAAGCATGTTATTAACTGACATGCAAAAAGATTCAAGGGTCATTCCCTCACATACAAGGTCTTAAAACTTGGAGCCAATTGCTTAAAGGGCCTACTAAAAGGGACAGCCAATTGGTTAACAGTTTATAAAAGATTCTCTGACTAATCTGCCCCTATTCTTGTGGCGCAGAGGTGGGTGACAGCCAGAAATTCTCAGCTGAAAGAGTAGAAATGAAAGAGTAGGACAGGAGTTATATATACAGAAGAGATAACTTCAGAAGTCATATAGTAGTAAACAACTGAAAGATCTCCCTTGAACTACCAAAACTGATCTAGATAATTCGTTGTTATTCTGCTCAGGAGCTCCTGAAATGTCTTGTGGAAAGGCAGAGATGTAGATGATGGAAGCAGACTCATTTGGTGAAAAGAAGCAGCAGCTACTTGAATGACTACTCTCTACCTTTTTTCCTCCAGAGACCAGAAATCACTTTGGACAGAGGTAAAACTAAGCAGAGATACGTCTTCTTTAGATATGTACATAAAGATATGAGACCCAGAAGCTGGAGACCACATAATAAAGAAACAGCATTGCCCAAAGCAGTAAAAGATTAAACATGAAAGCTGAATCATCACAGGCCTTCACGAAGGCCTCTATCACCAAGAGAAAACGAAATGAGACTTTGACTTGTTGATCTAACAAAGGCTGAGAGGATCTTTTACGGTTATTTCAGAAGAATACTGCATAGAGGCCTCACCATATTGAGAACTCCTGGAGCACCCCTCAAACTGCATCCTGGCATTGATCTTTACCCACAGCAAAGCTTCTATAACTTGTTTTTAAAAAATCTACATAAGCCTAAAGGGAGCTGTCATGTACATCCTCTTCTTCCTTACATCAAGAAAAGAGATGAGCTTTGAGTCCAATCAGAACTCCTGTCTTCAAAGCTATTTTAAAAGCAAAATTTCTCAAAAGCTCAACTTCTAGGCACCTTCAGACAACAGAACTTTGCTAAGTATTTCAACTAGGATGAAAAGTCATGCAGTAGGGGTAGGCAATTATTTCAGCTGGAGGATCGCTTAACGACTTTTGGGGGGGGGCTGTGGGGGGGGACTGTGTGTTGTTGGGTGTGGGTGCCCCCCCGCCACATGCCTCCCCCACCCCCCATGGTGCACAGCCCCTGCCACGGGCAGCAGCAAGCAGCAGGTCCTCGGGACACTCATGGCCCGTGGCAGGCAGAGCCCCCCCATGGCACATGGCTCCAACTGAATCCCAGGAGCCACACGTGTTGGCACAGAGCCAGCCCAGCTTGGCCAGCTGGCATGAGCCTTCAGGCCAGAATGGGCTGGTTCTGTGCCGCTGCACACAGCTCCCAGCACTGCAGGTGGGAGCTACGTGCCATCTGGCTGGGCTAGCTCTGCGTCCCCTCATGGGGCTTCCAGCACTCCAGAGGGGAGCCACACATGAAGGCACAGAGCCCATCCAGCCTGATGGCGTGCAACCCCCCACAGCTCCCAGTCCGTGTGCCATCACACCAGGCTCCATGCCTCCATGTGCAGCTGCCCGCTGGAGCGCTGGAAGCCCCACATAGAGGCACGGAGCCAGCTCAGCCCAGCCCAGCCTGATGGCACATGGCTCCCACTTGCAATGCCGGTAGCCCTACATGCTGGCATGGAGCCAGCCTGGCCTAACTGGATGGTGTGCACCAGCTGCCCAGGATGAGCAGGCTCCATGCCGCCATGTGCAGATCCTGGGATGCAGCTGGAGCCTACTGCCTGCTGCTGCCAGCAGTGATGGGGGCTATGCACCATGGTGGGATGGGAGGCATGTGGCAGGAGGGCCCACACCCACCACAAACCCCACACCCACTGACTGGAACTCCCTTCCCCACAGTCCTGCTCCATCACACACAGTGCCTCCACATGGGGCTCCCAGCTGGAGTGTCAGGCGCCCCACAAAGATGGAAGCACAGAGCTCACCCAGTCCAACGATGCATGACCTCTGAAAGCCCACTTCCTGCCGGCTTTCAGAGGGGCAGCTGTGGGCCAGGAGTAATTGTTTTTTTGGGGGGGCCCCATGGGCCATACAGAACAGCCTGGTGGGTTGGATCTGGCCTGAGGGCCGTATTTTTCCCACCTCTGTCATACAGCCTTCTCTTCAACAAGTAAAGTTGGAACTCCTACTCTGAATTTGGGAAATTCAATGGATAATCTGCATAAGCTGTGCATCACTGCTGAGAGTGGGACTCAAAAGAATGGAATGTTGGTCTGAATACAAAATCGTCCCACATATGATGCACACTATTTAAAAACTTGGATTCTCCTCAAGCTCAACCATCTTGAAAGGCCTGACAGTGAAGTAAACTGCATCAAAATATCAGGACCAAGAAAATATATTCTCCATGTACAACTGATCCTGATGGGGGGCTGGAAGGAATGAACTAGACAACATCTGAATTTTCCATGATTCAATGAACTAAACAAAATCAGATGCCCAAGGAATCAACCCATAGAAGCACAGAATGGCGTGAAAAACTAACTAAACTAATAGCTACACAAAACTTTTAACACAGCTATAGAGGTTGTCGAAACCAGTGTAAAAGAACAACAATTCAGCCCTTCAACCTATGGTGGCAGGAGGAAATAGAGGACTAGTTGAAGTTCAATTCCCTTTTATAACTCTTGGGGCTGAGTGGTCAGAACCACAGGGAATGTACATACAACCTCAATATTTGATACATTCTAGAGGGTTCCAACTGCAACACCAATGGCGCGCACACACATCTTCATAAATGGGAATCTCTACAGAAAATTATCCAATAAGACCTCTAGTTTATATTGGAGAGGAAGTTTTGGAGAAAAAGCATACAAACAACATCACCATTCTCAGAGGCTAACTATGCTTCTGGTGCTAAATGTTGCATTTTTAAGCTGTCAGTTCCAAAAGTTTAAGAAAAATCATGGCATAAGAACAGCTTGTGCGTGCAGTTAAGATGATTAAGCCTGGGGTTCTCCCCATACACACATACTGTAACTGAAGTCCAAGTGTACAGACTTTAAGCTAAGACCTAGATAAAGTTCACACTGCTGTTCTGTAGTAACAACTAGATAACAGGGACATGGAACAGGCTGTCTGTCTGCCATTCAGAATATCTAATTAGCAATATGAGATTCACTTAGAAATAGTGAGGAAAGTCTGCCAAAACTCTATACTGATGAAGAGTTTCCAGACTATTTAGGACTGAACAGAGCATGCTCGATCAAAGAGTCTACCACTGAGAAAGGTACCGTTACCTGACCAATTGGTTGTAGATATACAGCTGGAATTTGGGGTGGAGGTTGGGAAAACAGACACTGAGAGAGGCCCAGTGGTGAGACGTAAAGACAGAGAAGAAGTAGTGAACAGGAGAGCAGTGTCTACAAAATAAGGAGGAAGAGTTTAAAAACAAGATAGCAAAGACAGAAAGAATGAGAGAAGGAGAGCATCTAGCAAATATTTTTTTAGATGCATTAAACATTACACTGATTTTATATCACCTAGTCTATCAAACAGAAAACAAACTGTACATTTTACTTCAAAGGTAACAGAACATAATGACTTGTGCATAAACTCTGAAGTATTATTCTTTATCAATTCAATTCATGCTGCTTTTCTTATTGTTAACTATCTTAATTTTTCCTTAAATCTTAGGATATGTTCTATTGCCCAAGTACAAGCTTCTATTTGCAGTTCTATCTATGCATTTATACCCTGGTCTTCAGCAGCTGCTATTCCAATACACAGTAAAGAATATTAATAGAACTAAATTATATATTGGTTTTGCAATGTGGAGAATTGTATGAGTCTGACCCACTTAAAGACATTTTCACTTATAGGTTCACATTTACATCGGATCATTTCTCTAAAAGGTAAACGCCAGTGAATTAAAGATTATCATCACTTGGTTAACAAACAGCGAAATGATTTCAGAAAAAGTCTGACGTTCACTAGTTCATGTTTTTTCTAGTTATACTGCAAGCATTGTTATTTTGCCTTCTCAGTTAAACACAAGCTTGATTTCACATTTCTCTGGTTAAGCGCCGTCTGATTTATTAAAAGTACTATGCTGCAAGGTAGGATCCATCTTACTAAATTCTTGTCTGATAATGGTTTGAAATCAGTCTCCTAATGAAATGTTGGTGTAAGTTATTCATAAGAAAATGACATGCTACACATAGCTCATTATTAATTACAATGCAAGGTAAGAAACCTATTTATGTAAAGCAACAACAGAATAATGTCAGTTCCTTTATGTCCTTAATGCATTGATTGTTAAAGCCACAGGGGATTGGAGGAAAGGGGAGAGGGTTAATTCTCTTTGACAGAGCATGCTCCTGTTCACATGCATACTACAAGGATTCATGGAATAAGACAACTCTTCTCTTTTCTTGTTAGAAGACAGGTACTGAAGCTGCTACTTCAGCTCCAAGAAGACAAAGGATCTCTTCCCTTGCTATAGAGTAGAGCAAGTTCAGTATTCTTATCCCGTCCAAAGCACAACAGATTTTTTAAAAGCCACCTTCCTTCCCCCAGTTTGCTTTTACTTAATTCTTATTATTTAGTTTCTTTACTACACTACATCTCACACAGTATAGACAAATTCAGTACCGGTACTTTCTTAAGGGCTTACTTTCTTTTTCTGCTCCTCTCAAGAATCTGTCAAAAATGTCTTGTCATACTGTGTTTTAACATAATTCTTGCCATAGGATCATGGGAAAGTAGGGCTGGAAGGGACATAACAAGGTCATCTAATCCAGCCCCCTGCTCAAGACAGGATTATCCCCCACTAAACTATCCCAGGCAAGTGTCTGTCTAACCTATTAAAAATTTTCCAGAATGGAGATCCCACTTCTCCAGGCATCCTACTCCAACACTCAACCACCCTCATAGTCAGAAAGTTCTTCTTCAGTTCCAAAGTAAATTTCTTCTACTGCAGTTTGAGGCCATTGCTCCTAGTCCTAGTCCCTTGCAACCACAGAGAAAAGGCCATCTCCACCCCCTTTATAATGCCCTTCAGATATCTGAAGACTTATCAAATCCCCCATCTCAGTTTTCTCTTCTCTAGAATACATAGTGCTAGTTATTTCAGATTTAATTGTGTTTTGCAGACTTCGTCATTTTTTGTCACCCTGCTGGACTTTTTAAAATCTGATTACTTCTTTTTTGATGTCCTAAGTGCATGTCCTACAAAATAAAGCCACTGAAGTCTACACTGCTCTTCTATTTTTTTTAATGACTAAGCATCCAATTTCAGGGCCATCTATTAAAGCATCAAGTATGAAAAAATAATCAGCTTGACAAAAGATAACCTTTCAGAGCAGTGGTTTTCAACCAGAAGACGAAGACTGCAGTCCATCAGTAGGCCATCAGGATGGCTATGAAGCTAGAAGGGTCAGCTGACTCACAACACTGCATGCCAACACAGCACCAGGCAGCATTATAAGCCATTATGCTGAGTTTTACCTTCTGAACAAGAAGCAGTATACCAACTTACTGATCTCTAGGAGGCACAGCAAATTAGACAAGGTTCAGTGATGTTCTAATTCAACCTTCCTCATTCTGGTTTAGGAGGCAGCATAGCACAGTACTAGGTTTGGGCACTTGTGCACAGTACTGCTTTGCACCAAAATAGCAATGGGCTATGACAGCTTTCGTATGCTACTTCCAGCTTCTGATCATGCAGGTCAGTTCTAAATTAGGTCACAGGATCCAATAAGTTGAGAACCACTGTTCTAGGGATCTTTTCATGTTTAAACAAAGTCCCACCTCCTCTCCCCTTAAATGAACATTTACCAAATACATACAACTGAAGGAAAAAGAAAAAAAGTAATGAACGTGGAACACACACATTAGACCACACACATGTATGCAACACCAATTTCTATTTCTTATTCCTTAGAGCAAGTGACAAGAGAAAGTGACTGCTCTACTATGTTTGAAAAGTTTATACAATCAATTCTGAATTATAGCATCTGCCATGTTTTTGATATTTGATCCAATTCGTTGATTAACTCTTCACGGTTAACAAAGACCTCTTCTTATTTTGGTGAGAAAGTAGGATCCGGCAAAAAATTATTTGCTTTTTGAAAACCCTGAAACACAGCTTTGTCTATAAACAAGGGCTCTCCCATTTTTAAGGGATCAAACAATGTTAGAAAAAAATGATAACAGGAATCTACTTTTATTCAGGTGATCTGAATAAAAGTAGCATGATTGGTTTCAGATGTAGAGAAAATGTTTCCTTATTGTTCTGAAGTCACAGTGGCTCCAGAGCTCTAAATGGCATTTGTATTTTCAAAAAGAAAACTAAACAGGGAACACAGGGAACTCAAAGGATCACAACTGCTTTTTGTCTGACTTAGACTATAACAGATAAAGTCTGTGTAATTAAAATGGCCATGTATCAAGCTTTTTCCTACTGCGCTGGGTACTTATACAGACCTCCCTCGCTATACTGCCAGAGCTCTCATCCCCATGGTATCTGAACACTTAACACTGAAGGGGATATTCTACCAGTGGAATTTCAAATGGCCAGCACCCTGATCAATCATAAGCATCTTTTTGCAGAACATGCAATACTTTTTTTTTTTTTTTTTTTTAAACTTTTTCTCCTATCATTCTGGGATGATGACAGAAACAGAAGAAAAATTAGGACAAAAGGTGCATTATTTGGAAAAGTTTAACTGCCCTAACCAGTTAACAATCAATTTTATATAAAAGCTATTAACAGTGGTGACCTGCTTATTGTTCAGAAAAGCACCATTGCTAAAAAAATTCTCTTTTAAAGGAAGGGTGAGGCACAGAGAGGATACAGACACTGTGCCTCAGTGGTCTTATAAGAGACCTGACTGAATTGAAATACAGTAGGCTCTTTCTTTAAGCATGCTTTTAGAATGAATTTCATATCAGCTCCTCAAATGAAACGGTCATGGTCATTTAAAATTAAGTGTAACTGTGATTAAAGGGGAAACAAACTGAGCAGTGTCATTGACTGCTTTTAATGCCAGACAACAATTTATCTACTCCTACTGGTTTTACTAAACTACAACAAACAAACAAACAAAAAAGAAAGAAATAGTTACTTTTCATCCATTCGGCTGCGCATTTTCTTGAGCTTCTGCATAATGCTACTAGTCTCGCTACTGGAGATGGAGATAGGGGAAGGGCTACGGGTTTCTGTGTCAGTTGGAAGTGGGCTGGAAGCATTGCTCTGCTTTATGTCGTCTTCACTGTGCAACTCCTGCAATACAAGCATTAAATAAAAATTAAGAACAGTTGTCCAGGCCTTGGGTGATGATTTGAAAAAAAGATCAAGAAAATAACTTTGAATACTGATCAACTTTCCTCCTTCTCCCAACTTCCAGGGAAATTTGGCTTTAAATAGTCAATTGTTACTACCCTGCTATATCCAAGTTTGATCCTTGGATTCCAGTAGCTTAAAGTTTATTCTGAAATTACTATAATTCAAACACAATCTAGAGAGTAAACCCACAGGCAACACCAATTAATTAAAGTGAACAAATAAGTGAAAGACAAAATTCAATGTACTTGTTCAATCCTTTTAATTGTTTCACTGAATTCATTTATTCCTTAATTGCCAGATACAGAACATCAATCCACAGTATTTTTCTGTCTGCTACATACCACAACATGAGAGACACCTTGATTTTGATAAAAAAAATAGAATGAAGGAAAAAAAGGACAATTTTTCGAGTTATGGCCACATACAGCAGGGACAGAACCTAATCTGTCTGTCTCACCCTACCTTTCCTAGTCAGGCAAAAGTTACAGGTTTAACTCATTCATAGCTGAACTGGTCATCAGCTTCTTGGCTGCTCAGCTAAAAGCTGAAACTAACTGCTGCTGAAAACTAGACTCCATGGGCAGATCCAGAATTTTGAAAAAAAGCTGCAAACAGTCTGAAAGTGCTGTTAAATGGGAGTGGAAAAACAAAGAGTAGCCAATAGACAGCAAAATAGCTGCACAAACAATATCATGATTAGTGGGACAAGAAAACCATTAAAAAAAGAGAAGGTCATTAACAAGTGTGAGTGAAGAGCAATTAGCAGCAATCAGCTAGATTACAATGAGCCATGCAGTCAACTGACTCCCCCAGTGCTACCTAAATAAACATGCCACAGCTGCTGTTAGGCAGTTAGATTTAAACTCTGGAACAGGAATCAAAGAGGGGTGTAACTGCACCACTGGACCCCTCCTCCCCAGATCTGCTCCCTGCATTTGCCTGCTAGAAAATCAGCTTTTCTGCTTAAGATATGTACCCCAATTTTGGAAGGCTAAGTTTTGGGAAAAGAGTGCATGTGGCATGCGAGTAAATGGAGCCGACCTCTAAGGGGGTTGGGGGGCCTGGGGCAAATCAGCCTGTGTGGGGCCCCCCTAACACTGTGCAGGGCCATTGTACCCACACAAAGGGGGGAGGGTTCCTCTGTGGTTCTTCTGCGGCATGGGGCTGAGTTGCCAACTCTAGGCAGGCCCCATGGGAGGGGCCATGGCTGCTCTACCCAACTCCACAGGGCCCCCCAAAAGCACGGGGTCTGGGGCAGTCGCCCAGATTCGCGGTACCCTAGGGATAGCTCTGTGCGTAAATATAGTAGTGGTGCTCCAGAAGCTTCAGTTACTGGTTCCTCATATTAAATAACCTCAGTAGCTTCCTTACACCTATTTTAAAGAATTCTGACAATGACCTCTTTAGTTAAAGTGCTGCTAGACACTAAAGTTCTCCACTGATGATACCATTAACAAGGGTCCAAATTGTTGTCCCAAATACTGAATTGGTCTTTTCTATATTATTCTAATATAATAAAAGCATTACTCTGTCTGTCTCTGCGCAATGCTTTGTTTGCACTGATTGGTTGTCTCGGCAGCTGATCACAATGCTGACTGAAACAACCAATCTAAGCACTCCAAGAGCGTTCCAGACAGGAGGTGGCGGTGCACTGCCATGACAGTGGGGATGGAGTAGGGGTCAAAGCCAGCACTGCTGGCCTCTGCCCCCACCTCCCCGGGTCCTGCTCCCTGGAGGAGGTAGCAGCACGTGGTGCCAGCCAAGGGGGATGGAGGGGACAGCAGGGCAACCTCCCCCCCAGCTCCTGGGTGGTGGCGGTGGCATGGGGTGGTGGGTAGCGGCGCTCTGTCCCTGCCTGCCCCCCTGTCATTCCTGATCGGCAATTGGCTAGTGAAAATATAACGTTCCATCTCCTTGAATTTTCATACTTGTAGTCTCAACCTCCTACCTGGAGAAAGTAGTAAGCAATAATAGTAAACTGTTTCAAGGTACTAAGATTCTACCTCTGCCACAGGCCTTTTCTGTTACTCAATTTTGTTCTCTTCCAGTCCCTTTCTATTGAATCTTGATTCTACATTTTAATTCCCTCACCTTCTAAGAAGGTTGTCTCATTAACGTAAGTTGAAGCATAGGTTGCTTGCTTTCCTTTCTGACCATTTCTTCTATTTTTTCTTCACAACAATACAAATGCAATCCAGACTTTCAGGGCTATGGGTTGTAGCTGTGTTGGTCTAAAGACACAGGCAGACAAGGTTCTTTAGGTAAATCCAATATCTTTTATTAGACCAACTCAAATAGTTGGAAAAGTTCTTTGCAAGCTTTGGGGTACAATTACACTTCATCAGGCTGAGATGTAGCAGAAAGCCCCCTTTTCCTCTTGCCTGCAGTTGCTCTCCCCTCCTTGGATATGTTTTTCCTCTTCTACCTTTTCTTCCTTCCTCTTTCTTTCACTTTAAGATAAGGAATTGTGTTTTAAAATTTGTATGTGTGCATTTTATATCTCCCTTTGTATTTTGGTATTTTTATCTATTTGTGTGCCGTGGCATTTGTAGCTTATATTTTATACTCCTCACCTTTCAACTGTGAACGTGTTTAGTAACAATGTTAACAAGGGCAGGAGTCAAACTGCTGCTTCCCTGTATCAGGCTGGCCCCTGAAAGAGGGAGTGAATCCGTGATTGAATGTGTAACACAGTAGCAGACAGCAATTACCACCTAAGGAAACTACAGATCAACCAATGGAAGAAATCAATAGAAGACAATGTAGCAACCGGGACATCTCTAAACGTCACTGATCAAGGGCTAGAAGCCCTGGCCTGGGTTAATCAACGCCGGGGACCAACTTTTGGGATGAATATCTCCAAATCTACCGCTCCCAGAGCCCTATTCAAAATTCATCAATGGACTCCCAAACCTGCACGTACATGTGGACGACCCCAGGGGCTGACAGATGCCATCCAGTAGCCACCGAGGGGGGAAGTCCCACGAGGGTCAATGACCCCTGGATTGGGCAAACCTGAAAACTGGGTAGTCACCAAAGTCTGCCAAGGACAGATAAAAAGCAGTGAAAAGTGACCCTCAGGGGCGCCTTCTTGATCTCCAACTTGACCAGCACCCGACCTGTCCAGCCAGAAGGACCAGCCGGCGACTCCCTTCTAGAAGATGATACCACGCTGAAAGAAGCCTCAACGGCAGACTCCACTGCCTGTGGGATAGGTATACTTGACTCTTGTAGCTTGCGTTGGGGGCGGGGACCAGCCCCAAAGTTTATGATTTAACTTCATTACAGTGTTTCAATCCGCCTAATAAGCCAGAATTTTTAAGGATCCCGAGTTGGACATTTGTAGCCAACAGAGGAAACATCTGCAGTTGGTCTGTGCTCTTCCTGGATGGAGTGGTAAAGAAGCCAGAGGCCAGTATGCATGCAAGAAAGCCAGTCAGTGAAGATGTAAAATGAGGCAGTCAATGAGTGAGACAGGTGGTGGTGGAGAGGGGTGACAGGATGGTGGACAGACATGAATGTAGCTGGTAAATAGTAGAGAGGTTACCTGGGGAGTCAGATAGTAGGTAGGTTATAATGTGTCATAAATTCAATGTCTATATTTAGTCCATGATTTTTTGTATTCAGTAGGCTGATGAAGTGAAGATCATAGGCTTGTCTGTGAAAGGGGTTTTGTAAATTCTCTTTGAGGATTAGAACTGAGAGACTGGAGAGTGTGGTTTTCTTGTGAGAAATGTGCCCGCACAGTTAACTGGGTATTCTTGTCTTTGATAGACTTCCGGTGTGCGTTCATTCTGGTGGCTCATAAAAAGGTTAGCATATTACCAGCTTATATACCAACATCCCACACCAGGATAGCATCCAAGCCTGCCTTACATATCTGCAAGAGCAAGATTACAACTGAGTACAGATCCAAAGATATTACTGAACTTGTACACTTCATCCTTTTAACTGGGTATTCTTGTCTTTGATAGACTTCCGGTGTGCGTTCATTCTGGTGGCTCATAAAAAGGTTAGCATATTACCAGCTTATATACCAACATCCCACACCAGGATAGCATCCAAGCCTGCCTTACATATCTGCAAGAGCAAGATTACAACTGAGTACAGATCCAAAGATATTACTGAACTTGTACACTTCATCCTTACACACAACAAACTTCACTTTCAATAACCAACACTTCCTCCAGAGCACGAGCACAGTTATATGCACCAAATGGCCCCACAATATGCCAACCTTTTTATGAGCCACCTGGAAAAAGATGTCCTCAAGGACTAATCCAACAAACCATTGCTATACTTAAGATATATCAATGACATGTTCATCATTTGGACTGAAAACCTGCAATCTGATTGATTTCCTCAGAAATTCAACAATCATCGCCCCTCCATCAGACTCTCTCCTGAATACTTCAGCACCAACATTTCCTTTTTAGATGCAATGATCACTGTCGAGAATGGTAAAATACAGACCACCACATACAAGAAACCCACAGATCAACATACGCATCTCCACAGAACCATCAATTATCCTAAACACACCAAGAAAGCTGTATTATACAACCAAGCCCTCCAATACCACTGCATTTGCACTGAGAACACTCATGATCATCACCTCACAAATCTCAAAAAGGTTTTCACTCAACAAGGACACTCCTCCAGAGAGACATATCACGCTTTTGAAACAGCCACCCAGGTACTACATGAAGAACTGCTGCAGTACAGAAGGAAACCCCCGCCATGAATCGCACACCACTGGTTATGACGCATCATCCCTCCCTGGAACCTAAATGGAAGATTGTATGGCCCAAAACACACCGAATGGATCCAAATCATGTCATGACAAGAAATGTTAAACCAGCCAACATATCTCCACTACTCCCACAATAACTACACCCCCACAACAGAACCATCACCATTCCTGGATCTTTATACCTACACCTCCAGAAATGTACTACATCTCATCCAGTGCACCAAATGCCCTAATGGAAAATATGTAGGAGAAATGAAACAACAACTGTGCACCAGAATGAATGCACACCAAAAATCTATCAGATAAGAATATCCAATCACCTGTGCAGGCACATTCCTAACAAGAAAACTACTCTCTCTCCAATCTCTCAGTTCTAATGCTCAAAGGGAATTTACAAAACACCTTTCACAGACGAGCCTATGAACTTCACTTCATTGACCTACTGGATACAAAAAATCATGGATTAAATACAGACACTGGATTTATTATAACTTGCCTAACATCTGACTCCCCAGGTAACCTCTCTACTATTTACCAGCTATATTAGTTCCCTCCCCCGACCCGCCACCTGTGTCTCACCCACTGACTGCCTCATTTTACATTTTCACTGACTGGCTCTCTTTCATGCATAGTGGCCGCCTCTGGCTTCTTTACTAGTCCATCCAGGAAGAGCACAAACCAACTACAGACATTTCCTCAGCCTGATGAAGGGTATTTGTACCCAAAAGCTTGCAAAAAAAATTTCCAACTCTTTGAGTTGGTCAAATAAAAGATATCAGATTTATCCAAAGAACCTTGTCATCCACACTTTCATGCTTTTTTGTATGGTAAAACAAACTGAAAACTCCTTGTTGTTGTGATTATAAAAAAATCCAGTACTGTAACCAGGTATATTCACTCTCCAGTATGGTCTTTTATGCAAGAATAGCAGTAGCTGGTATTTGTTTGTGACAAAGACTTCTCCCTATTTTATGTTCCTAAATACTTATAATCTGCTTAATTTCAAGAATAAATAAAGTATTCTAAAGATTAGCAAAAAACTTTTAGATTTTCCAGATTAAACAAGAGAGTGACCAAAAAAACCAAACAAAAGAAACAAAAAAAATGAAAAGAAAAAGTTTTTAAAAGTGACTCAGTTTTTCAGGTCCACTGTGGGACTCCTTTGAGATACTTTATTTTCAAAGTGCAAGCAATCAGCCTTTTCTGTAAGTCACACCATTTAAGGTGCGTCTCACACACACAAGTCACTAAAGTCACTTCTGAGAACTGATCATCATCTGCTGCTGAAAAATCTCAAGAGATGAAGTAAGGTTTTAGAAGAGCAAATTTGCAACTGTATAATCAACAAAAAGCTACCAAGTTGAAGTAACAAAGGAGTCAATTATCAATGGCATAACAGTTCTAAATAGAAAGACAACAGTTCTTTAACACCAGCTTACCAGTTTATTTTCCCCTGCAGACTTCAGTTTTTCCTGCAGTTTCATGGTAGTCTGGCAGATTCGTTCTATCTCTTCCTGTTGCTTCAGAATCAGTTGTCTCTCCTTCCTAGCTGCCTTGTTGGCCTCCTGGAGACGTTTAATTTCTGCCTTTAAGTACAGGGAATATACAGCAAAAGAATTTTAAATCACAGATGTTTCTAAGCAATATTTCTAAACCTACCATCATGGCTGGGCTACATAATGAGTTTTAATGCATTATGCTATATCAATTTTACTTGGCTATTCTCAGTTTGATTATTATCCTCTAACTCCACCAGTGGTTGCATACCAGTAACAGAAGGCTCAGCTAGAAAAAAGGCATCAAGACTAGAAACTACTGGCACACAGATTAATACCAGCAGGTGCATCTACATGCGCACTTTACTGAAGAGTTGACTAACTAGTTCTTCAGTAAAGTGTCACAGTCTACACATATGCCCATAATAGGGTGCAGTAAACTAATTAACTCCTCTGTAGGATAGTAATGTCCAGGACAAGTACTATCCAACAGCAAAGTGTTTGCACTCAAACGCAATTGTAGACAGTGACTGGGCCTGGCTGGGGCATGAGGGTGTTACAGTGAGGGGTGCTGCCTTCCACCTAGCCCCGCACTGTAAGACCTTCATGCCCCAGCCAGGTCCTCCACTACCTGGAGCCTGGGGCTGACTCCCCCCTGGCCCCCTGCCAGGCAAGGGCTTCTCCACCCTGGCTCAAATTGCTGCAGTCCTGGGTGCACATGAAGATGCTGCACCCAGGAAGCAGTTGACTCTGGCACAAACTGCACCTGAGTTTATGCAGGTGCATTAACAGCACGTGTAGATGCTCCCAGAGAGTTGCAACGAGCTTCTTAAGAGCCTAGTGGACAGTCTCTAATTCAGTACTCAATGTGTAAATTGTCCAGTAATTAAACAATGGATTAAAATGGATTTTTTTTCTTAACAGAGGACTATTTACCTGCTCCTGTTGCAACTTCAGCAGCAGGCCACGCTGTCTCTTTCGAATGGGAGGCATCTTGTCATCCTCTCCTTTGTCTCTCAAGTGTCTGAAAGAAAATTGGCAAAAGGAATAAAGTGAGGGAAAAAACTGCCTCCATTTCTTTCATTTTCAAATATACCAGTACTTGTCCATTATGTAATCTTAACTGCAGACAAGGGTAGCTCCATTTTACATGTCAATAATTGATCATGAACTTTCTCTTTGGTGAAACATTATGTTCTTAAAGACCTAAACTTCATTTTGTTTCTGTAAAATACAAAATATTAAGGGGGCCAATGTGGATGGTACTAGACACTGTCTCATGTCCAGACCAGAAGTTCTGTAGAGGAAGCATACTCTTCACTTGAGAGTAAGAAGAATGTTTCAGGAAGTAAAGCATTTTAGTTCCATGTGCTCTTTGCTATTTTTAATCTTACATTTTAGTGTCTGGACAAGATACTCATCATCTAACAATACCTAACAAACTGCAAAACATACTCGTCTAACAGAACAATTTTCAGGGCCCCTCTACACAAACAATGGGATCTAATGTGTGATCCACGCAATTGTGCCTTCTGTCATGCCACATGTGCATGGCAGGAGGTGCGACTGTGGAATCACACATTAGATCCCATTGTGCCTTATCACCACTACAAGGGGAGACTGGGATCATGAACCTGGGCTCCCCCTGCACCAGTGCCTATAGCTAAGAACCCCAGAGCTGAAGGGGCTTGGCAAGACTTGCAGCAGGGGCAGTGTTCTTTGCACTGCCCTAGCTGCAAACCCTGCAGCTGACAGGGGCTGCAGAGTTCAAAGTGGGGGCAGCACCAAGAATGCTGCCTCATTGCAAGCATCATTGGCAGCTGGGTCCACAGTGGGGAGAACATGGCCAATGCTGTGAGCCTCATGAGATGTGGGGTTCACAGTGGCAGCGGTGTTTCCCTGTGGTGCCTATGTTGTGGGCCCTGCAGTCCACATCAATGTAGGGTTCTCAGTGGAGGGAGAGGAAAGAATGTTGCTGCCACTCAGTGGCAGCAGCACAGAGAATGCTGTTGCCACCGAGTCTTGTGAGGTGCAGAGCTCACAGTGGTGGCAGCATTCCTCTGTGCTGCCCCAGCTGTGAGCCCCACAGCCAAGGAGACTGAGGGGGGGGGGGGGGGGG